CGCTTTCTTGTGTCTTACGTTTGTCATTATCTTTCGTTTGTCATTATCTTGTGTCTTACGTTGGTGTACAGGTGTCAGCCTCCTTCACAGATGTTTCACACTGAGTTCCAGGAGGAAGTTCTCCAGGGCCTAGTACAATGCCTGGTACTAGAGGTGGGCACAAAGTTGAAGGATAGTGAAGAAAAAAAAAGAATTTAGGCAGTGCGTGGAGCAGGCAATTTCAGCTGTCACCCCTCATTTGGTTGTGACACGGATCCTACTTAATGTTGAGTTAGCGGCTTTAATCTTTTGGTAAATTATTCATAACTCGTACTTTGTCTCTACCCTGCTTCCTATTTGACCATTTTGCCATTAAAAATCTGCTTAAATTACTGATTATTTTTTTACAGAGCAATTTAACAATGAATTTTTTGTAACATTTAAAAATTGGCAGACTTCACACATAAAAAAGGACAGCGTTTCAGCTTTTCTTAAAAGGGAAATGGAGGAATGAAAGGAGAAAAAAGAAAAAAGTAAGATCTGACATCACAGGGCCACATTCTTGCGTGGCCACAATCGGCTGGAACCGCTGCCTGGCTTCTCACTCAGGTATTGCACGTGTCCCTGAAGGCATCTGAGTTTGCGACCCCTTCCCCAGTCAGTGACCACTTACAGTTGTTCGAGTGCAGGACTGCCGGTGGGGCAGAGGCCGGCGTTACAAAAGGGGTGGAGAGCAAAGATCGCCGAAGCCCCGCAGACAGAAGGTCAGAGCTAAAGAGCCGCGGGCGCAGAGCCCTGCAAGTCTCAGGCTCCTCTCAAACCCCGAGGTTTTCATTCCCACCACAGACCCGGCTCCCGTGCCCGATTTTAATAAAGAGCCCTTACTGACACTAGCAAATACATCAGAAATAGAGCCCCAAGTAGCACCGGAATCCCGGGGAGTTAACCGTAGTCACCTGATCTCCCATTCTGGGCTCTGATTGGACTTTAGGAACACGTGGCCTCGCCCACGGGGGCGGGGACAGGTGTCACGGGGCGACGGTATTGGTCCGTTTCCTCAGAGCGCAGCCAATCGGAATTTGCCGACTTCTGGCGCGAAGTGAGTCAGCGCGCGGCGCGCGGGCTGAGGCGGTGGCGCGGGGAGTTTGGGCTCCGGTTCCGCCGGCTCGGAGCCTCAGGTAGAGGTGAGTGCGGCTCGTGGACTTCGGACCGG